TATATATCTATATAAAATATTTACATTTTCTTTTAGTCCACATACTATACAACTTTGGCAATTTTGACAGCACCATGTTTCTTCATCAAACCGATCATTAAATGTTTCTTCATCTAAACAAAATGAGTGAAATGGCTCACAGCATAAAGAGCAGAAGATAAACTGAAATTGCTATATTAAAAGAAAAAAAATCCCTTTAGTAATATTTCAAACATACATCTAATGTAAAAAATATCAATACACAATTTTGATATTGCATATATATGCAATAGCTTGATTTGTGGTTAATGCATTCTAAAAAAGAACCATGCTATTTTAAACTGCACTGAATTAAATGGGCTATGTATTTAATAAGAATAATGTTGTTATGTTTTAAACATACATGTTTACATTATAAAAAAACATTTATGCTTCATGATTGCATAATTATAAAATCTCCTTTGAATAGCTTCATTAAACTCCAAACTTTAAATAATTGAAGACTAAATTGAAATGTAAAATAAAATTATGATCTTAACAAATGATGTGCTATCTTCCTAATATTGTTACATGCTAATATTATATTAATTTGTTTGATCATATCATCTCAGTGATTGATGTGGCTGTTATTCAGAATTTATTAAAGAGCAAAGAATGTTTTAAGTGTTATTTCCAATGAGACTACTTAATACAAAATATTGGCAACAAAACAGCTGAAAAATAATGATATGTAAATTAAACTGCTTCTATTGTCACATCAAACCGCAAAATTTCAATGCCTCCTCAATAAACCCAAATAACCCTAAAGTTTGTAGTCATGCAAATGATTCTGGAGTGTTATTACTCATATTGGGAAACACTGCTTTATATAATATTTTAAAATGTTCAGTTTTTAATAATTAAAAAAGCAAATTATTATTATAAGATAACAGATTATAAAACCTCAAACATTTTAATTTTTGCATATCAATCCAGTAAATTAAAAAATTTATTAGGAATGAATACTTCACTTGTTTCAATACAATTATTTACTGCATTTTTGACAATATCTTTAATTATTTGCATTTCAGAATTTTTATCCCCATTTTTCTCTTTTCTATAGTTTTTGAAATTATGAGAATATTTTTGTCATTTTATTGTCATCCCATGTCTTAATAATGAAAGAAAATTATAAATTTTTGATGGGTTAATATAATAAATCCATCAAAAATCTATTTATTTTAATTAAAATAACTTAAACACCATATTTAATAAAATAATTAAATTTATAAAAGTTTATTTTCAATTCTAATTCCTTCTAATAAATTTGAATGTGTTCTCTTCATTTAAAAGAAAAAAAATGTATTCATATTTATTACAAAATATGACCCAATATGGATTCATGACTAAAGTTATTATTTTATGAACAAAAAGTTGATTAATGAATTTTCTAATACTGTTGAAATAGTTACTGAATTGTTTTCTCAATAAAACTAAGTTCACCCTTAAATAATTTATTTATTGAAAATGGTTTTATTTGGAACATTTTATGTTACATGTTATTTGAATATATATGTATTACAATAATATATATTATGATATTTACTTACAAATAAGAGCATGCTCTTATATGCAGAAGTCACTTGATTATGTGTTTTTGAAACATGTCCTGCTTCACTTATAAGAGCATACTTCACATGCTCTTATAAGTGCCAGTTGTTTTGGTTTACAAGAGCACTGTAATTCTTGTCAATGTAAATGTACTCATATAGTAACTATTCATTGACACATCTGTGGTAACTATTATTAATAATAAAAGACAAAAAAATGCTTTTGATAATATAAAAATTTTTTAAAAATAGTGTTTTTAAGTCTTTAGGTCCAAACTTTTATGCAATTTTTGTTTATGGCATTATCCTTTGATACTGGACTGAAGAAGTCTAGTAGCATTGGGAATTAGTTTAAGTTTTATTTCTTGCTCCAGTAAAGCAATTTTTGTGCATTATTTAAAGTTTGGAGTTTAATGAAGGTATTCAAAACTTTGTTTATTATTTTCTTTTTACTTCTAAGATTTATTAAATGAATGATTGAATGCCAAAACTAACTCAAAGTTTTCATTAGTAGTGTTTAAAAATAATATTTATGTAAATCAATTTGATTTTGCTGAAAAATATTTTTATTAAACTATAAGTAAAGTCTGTAAAGAAGACAACATTCTTAGTGTAAAAATATTTTATACAGACAAAAAAATCAATATTAACATTTATTATAAAAAATAAAACCTAGGCAAAAATTTGCTTACAGTATATATCAATAAACACAAAAAATCTTTTATTTTGTCCAAATTCATCAATTTTACATCACATAGTCATATGAGAGAGTTAAATTTTTTCTGGAGATTCTTCTTTTTCTTAATATGTAAAATTGTTTCAAATGTCTCTCTGATGACAATATAATTTGCTGAGATTTTTTTGTGTTGCCTTCTATTGATGAACATTTTTAGGTAAACAATTATCATTTTCTTAATATAGGAAATCCTCATTAATTTGAATGTGGATAGTTCGAAATCCCATTAGTTTTCATAACTACTTTTGTTCCGGCTGGGGATGGAGATTTACATGTTAAGGAATTTGGTTAGTTCAAAATACTTCAAATACTTCACTTCAAATTTTAAGGTAGACATCTTAAAATTTGAAGTGAAATTCTGTCCGAACTGTGATGTCTGTGCTAACTGATTCATTTAGATCAAAATGTAGCCATACTGTAAGAGAACAATATACTAAGACAATCCTAATCTGGTCCATATGGGTTTACTTTTGTGGTAACACATTTTCAGATATTACCTTACCCATAGACTACAGTTTTTTCACTTATCTCATAAAATATAGCCGGATTTTGGGATTGCAAGATTGGACTACGAATAGCAAATTCAGATATTTGTAGGGTTCTGGATTACTAGATTTGAGTGATTTACTACTTTTTAGGCCGCTTTAAAAATAATTTAGGCTATGTTTCAAGGAATCTGCTTTACTTTTTTATAAAACCCATCTGGCAACCTGTGAAAACCTTTATAACCATCTGGTACATTTTCAGCAGACACATGCTGTTTATCTTCACATTTATATTATTATTATTATTATTAATTATTATTTAATGAAAATAACATTCTTTGTATGTATCCATATTCCATTTGCTTAATAAATTACATCAGTTATGTGGCATTTCCTTTAGTGTACAGAGATATACATAAATGTCGGATAATTCAAAACTGGATAATTTGAAGTTGTGATTATTTTGTCCCTTGTATTTCAAATTAACGAAGATTTCCTGTGTGTTTAAAAATAAAGTATAATAAAAATGTGAAGATAAAAGTAAAATATAAATTATCCAGAATTGGAGTCATAAGTTTTGTTAAAATTACATCACATTTTTTTCACTTATTAATTAAAAATTTTATAAATATAGTAGACCCCACTATAACACCGGTTTGTATAACATGGCGAAAAAATTGTGAATGTGTTTATATAACATGCTAAAGGAGACTCATATAACACGGTAAAATGTCATCGCTGACTCATATCGCGACAGGATTGGTCGAATCTAGACCAATAGCGGACATCACACAAACTGTTGAGTTTAAACGAGCAGCGGACCTACTAAAAACCATTTTATTATTTAATAGCCATAAAAATTATATTTATATTAATGATGTCTCCAAAGTTCAGCAAATTTTTCACAGAAAAATAACTTATCAGGAAACACGCGCCCGCCATTCAATGAGCTGCTCTGCAATGAAAACAAGCTTAAAGCAATGGCGTTTTCGAATGGTGTGAACTCGGTAAGTAATCCTACAATTTTTTGTTTATAGCATAGTTAATATGGATTATTCCCAAAAAATTATGTGTTTTGGAAATGTTGAGTCAAATTAGTCTAGAATCGATTAATTTTATGGAAGAAAACCTTTCAAACAGCTGTAGTCCCTAAACTGCATACGTGCCGGGCTGTGATTGGCTCATGTATTTAAGTGACTCGTACAACATGGAATCCATATAACATGGAATGTATCTACCGTGTTATAGGGGGGGTCTACTGTAATTATATGAACACTTTTACTTTGTAACTATCTGAAAAATACCTTTAGACTGTTTTCAGAGCACATTAAACAATGAAAGAAACGTTCACTACATTTTTTAAAAATGTAAATGTATTTTAGAAAATATTTTTTCCCATAAATTTAGAATAGGAATTGGAAAAATAGAAAAAAAAAATCATGAAAATAATAAAATTTACATACAATATATATTTATGCTAGAATAAAATAAATGCACTAATCTTATTCTAACAGAAATATCATGAATGCATTCAGAAGACATTCATTCACTCAGAATATTCAAAACATTTGTTGAAAATAAATGCCTTCAGAAGATGAAATCTTCCTACATTAACAGTGAAACTTCATTTAAATTAAAAGAACAAAGAGATAATAAAGATTTCAATATACTTTTCAGAATAAAAACAAGTGTAACTTTTGAGAACAACTAATGAAATCACAATTACAATTCTATTTCTTTTACTTGTTCTCAATTATGTAACATTAGAAAGAGCAATATGATGAATAAAAACAAATAAATTAGACATTATATAAACTTTATTTCTCATTTTATTATTATTGGATATTCAGTAAAGAAAAAAAAAACTTACATTGTCTAAGCCAGTACTACCACATAAATAACACACATATTTTATAGGCAACATTTCTGAGGATATAAGTGGAAAACCTTGATTTAATATCCTATCTGGATCATATTCTTCCTGTAAAAAATGAAATATTTAATTATCTTATATTCAAATAATATTATCTCTTTCATTTAAATAAAATACCTCATTAATTTATTAATTAAAGCATGATTAAAATAAATTTTATATTTTATTATTTATTTGATTCTTAAACACTATGTAGTGTAATATATTCAAACACTTGTCATTTTATCATCTTTATTTAGTTCAGTTGATCTAAATAAAGATGATGTAAGGAACCAAGTCTGAGCTTTATTTTTATTTTACTTTTATTTTGCTTTCATTATATTTTGTTTGGGGCTTATGTTTAGTTAAGACGAAGGTTTCCTCACCATTCACCTTAGTAACTTAAAAATAGAAGAAAAACCAACTCACCGACGAAAGAAAAGCGCCGTAGAAAAACTCGCGCACACTTGCGCTTCCCAAGCGGAAAAAAGTAAGTCCGCACCGAGAAAAAGGGGGGGGAAGACCCCACAACCCAGTTAGGAATCGCTAAACCTTAAAAGAATAAAGCATCCCGATAATTGTTAAAAAGAATAATGTAAAAGGTTAGCGAAGTATTGTCGGAAAATAATCTGCCAGATAAACAAGAAAAATTTAATGTTACAGATAAGTATGTAAATGAGGAGAGTGAGCTCATTCAGAATTGTGACGTCACCTCACACTATAAAGCCTCTAACTCAAGTGAAAACGAACGAGGTGAATTCCTGATAGCAACGAGCTTTGGTGAGCTTCGTAGCAGTGAACGAGAGAGGTGTCCGATAGGATTTTGAAGTTATTCGATTTGTGGATCGACGATTATAGAAAGTCTTGAGAGTTTGAGGAAATAGGTTCCTAGTATATTGAGGTGACGATTAGGATCTTTAATTTATAAGAATTATTGTTTATAAGTTAATTCTTTGATTTTGTCGAATTCCAAAGGGGAATAGAATTAAGTTAGAAATAGATTGATTTGAGTTTGTCGGATTGATTCTTGTTGAGTTTCATTGAATAAATTATTGTTTGATTTTTACTAAATACTGTATAGAGTTTATTAATAGAAGTTTAATTAAATATTTGATTTTTGTTATTGACAAACTTTGTCATTATTTAATTCGGTGCATGCTTAAAGTCCAGGCCTGGCACACTAACGCGAATCCGCGTAAAGTACCCGTTAGGGAACGGCTATTTCCGGCACACAGTAGTGTCGATAATCATTGGAAAGTCGGAAAAATAATATAGTACTTTACAATGATAATCAACTGAACTAAATAATAATGATAAATCACCAAGTGTTTGAATTTATTACACTACATAGTGTTTAAGAATCAAAGAGTCGCAACACGGTTTCAGATTATCAAATTTATTATTTATACTATAACTTGTTTTTTTTATCCATTTTCCAAAATTAACATATTTGATGTTTTTGGAAAAACATTTTGTTTCAAAAGTGTCAATTCCTTATATATATATATTCAACATATTATTCAAAAAATTTAATATTTGATACTAACAATCTCATTTTTGTTGTATGTAATGTGATGTGTGGATACAAATAAAATATCCTATAATTGCAAAATAATCTCAAATATCTTGACTTTATTGTTTCATAAAATAATATTAACACAGTTTATTCATTGTGTTAGATCTTTAAGCAATTAAAACTTGAAATTAATTTTGTACTTTTTATTTTATATATTAATATTTACTAGAGAATTATTAGAATTGTTGAAAATTATCTTATTATTTGAATACTTATTTTTAAAATTTTTATTAATTTGATATGCTATAATTTAAATTAAAATGCTTTAATTTATGAATAAAATTTTGTTTTCTAAAGATATGTAATGTCTATAATGGAAAATAATCATATTGATTTTATATATGTAACTGTAAAATCAATATGATATATAATATGCCATAATGCAATTCATAAATTTTAGGGAAGGAATTAAAAAACATCAAAAACACACAAAATAAAATAATATATTTGTGAGTATTTTTATATTTGATTATTTCATGACCATTATATATTTATTTATTATTTGTTAATTATATTTTTTTTATTGGCATGTTTAAAGGTTTAGCATGGTTATACAATTTTTGAAGAGTCAGAAAATTCTTTTTTTTCCAAATGTTTTTAATTTGTCAGTCACAGCTTTTTGGATAGTGAAAACATCTGCAATTGGTGTCCTTTAAATTTCAATGTCAACTTGAAAAATAGACAATAAAGTAGTCTTGTGGAGACAAATCTGGTGAGTAAGGGATGATAAATGATGGAATTCTTTTCTGTGTCAAAAATGGCAATGCACCTGCTTACTAAGCTTGCAGCTTAGTGAGCAGGTGTACTGTATTTCTACACAAAAGATCTTGAAACCAAAATATAGCAGGATAAACACACTGAATGATTTTCAGATGAACTATTACTTCTGTATAAAATTCTGTATTTGCTCTTCTTCCAGTATGAATTATTTGTGAATCTCACATTGTTTGTCTGATTTTACTCACAAGATTATTTTAATGTTCAATCTTTGAAATTTCAATTTTTCTTTTATTCAGATGTCTCACCAACCCACTCAAAACTGTTGCTTATTTCAGGATCACAAGTTAAACACCAAGTCTCAGCTCCCAAAACAGTTTTGCTGAAGAAATTTTACTCTGAATCATCTACTGCAATGATTTCTGACAAAATATGGCTTGATTTTCTCTTTGCTCAGTTGTCAATGCATGCAGAATAAAACAAGCATATGCTATCTTCAAATCTCCACTTAAGATGAAGAACAATTCAGGGGATGTTCAAAGTCTCAGCAATCATTTGTGATATAATTTGATCATTCTTCATGAACTTGATAACAATAGCAATGTTTTCTCCTGTTTGAATTCACACGTGATTGCCACTTGTATTTACAAATTCCCTTCTATCACAAAACTGTGAATACTACCTGAAGACATCAGACTGGTTCAAAACCTCATTACTAATCTCAGATTTGTATACATGTGCATGTTTTCCTTAAATGCTATGATATTAGAACCTTAAAATGAACACAATTTGGTCTAATTATATCAAATTAAGGTTGTTGATAAGTTTTTAAAAGCTCATATAATATGCATTTATTATTTTTACTACAGATTTGACTAATTTTGGTTATAAATAAGTGCTTATTTGAAGCACTAATTTTGTCAAATGATCTATAGTCTATTTCTGCTATCTATACAGTAAATCTTTTTTTTTCACTTATGCAGTTCATGTGAAAAATATCACTCTGCCATTCAGTTCTAGATGAGGTGCAAATTAAATGTTTTAAATTTAAATTGTTTAATTTGCATTATTTTAAAGTTGCAAAACTAAGCATTTGCATTAAATGGAAACCTCACATTTTTTAAATTCTCAAAATTCTTTAAATTAATTGGATCAAATTATTGTAAATGTTATATTTATTAATTTAATAATGTAAAATTTAACCAATCATCCTTAAATGCTTTCTAAACAACTGAGGGGCTTGATGGAAAAATGGCATATTCCATGTTAGGAAGTTTTCAAGAAAAAGGAGGATTTGTTTTTCAATTCACCAGAACTTTGAACACTCACATCAATAAAAAGTTGTATATTAAACTGTAGGGCATGTAACTGTGAACACTGAAAATTTCTTAGATGATGTGTAAATCCAAATTTTTTAATAACTCATCTTTTTGTAGTTTTGCAGGATACATCATTTTTACTATCCTGATTGTTATATATAACAGAGGGAAAGTATGGCAATCATTCAAAAAATGACCCCCCAAGATTTTTACATTTTTGGACTCAGGACACCTTGAAATTTGAGAAATGCAAAAAAAAATTTGGAGATAATTTCTGTATGTATAGATGTTAGTGTGTGGCACAATTTTGTTCACCCTGTTTGAAGCTTAATAACTCCTGTGCTTTTTGTTGAAAATTTCTGAAATTTTGCAAGAAAGTTTGTTTATTAGGAGAATTGATGCTATTAAATTTTGGTGATTAAAGGTCAAGGGAGTGGGGAGATAATGAGGGCCACATATATCTCCAATAGGGTCGGACTTAATGACAATTTTACTTGTTATTAGCATGTACAATTTTTTTATAAAGCCCATCCCTACTCTCAAATTATTTTAAGCTTTTTGCCATTTTATAATAGTTAAAAATATATAAAGTTTTTAAAATAAAATATGATAACAGAGGATGCCACCAAATGTTGCTGGGTTTTTCAATAAGCCTCTCAGTTGTATATATAGAAATAAATTCAATAATGATTAATGGACAGAATAGAAAGTTATAAAATTTTATTAAACATAAGTGATGTAATAGGTATTAATAAGAATAGCTTGCAACTGAAGTAGTAGTATGCATTTTAATCTACAAATTTTAGTGTATATTACTGGCATTTTTTACATACAAAATTCCTACTTCAGATATTTTAACATGCATAACACAGTGTGCAGATGGCATTTTTACAGAGTGTGCAGATGGCAAATTGCAATATATGCAGATACATGTATATGTATCTGCATATATTGCAATTTTACATATATATAAATCTGGCCCTTATCCATTATCATACACCTGCTGTAGGTTTTATGGTTTCTATAGCAGAAAGATCTACTTTAAATCAAAATTTAATTGCAATTCTCTATTCACTTTTCAAATCCATGATGCAGCAACAGCAACAGTTTACACTAGATGTTATAGCTTGCACGTTTATGAACATGCACTAGCAACAAACTGCATGTGAACAGATAATAGTTGCTATTACTTAATTAGCATATTAGTCAATACATAGTTTCACTACTGTTTTAGCAAAAAATTAAGTCCTAAAACTTATGGATCACACTGTATATAATAAAAGATTTGACTCAAAATACATAAATAGCACATATGTGCTAAGTCTATATAGAAAAATTTAAGATTCAATAAGCAATTATTTTATTGTGATATCATCACTATGCTGGGCTGCAATTTTTTAATCATATTTTTAATTTATTCAATTTAAAATATATGCTCTCCACCTCAAATTAGTAGTGTCTTGCCTCTGTATACCATATGTTTATTTCAGCAAAAGAGTCATGCCGATCATCTATCTAACTCCTTTCAGGGAAAAATTTTTGAATTGAAATAACATGATTTCTGATTTTCATGGGAAGTTCATATGTAGTTAATTGGAACCTCCTACCCCTAAGGTTTCCATATCTGATTTTGTCTTTCATCTATCTAACTCCATTCTCAAGATTAAGAACAGACGGATGAATGACAGTGGGAATTCACAGGTCTACATTTTTTTTAATTGCAGCCAACAAAATTTTACAACATTCCACTTTTTATCCTAAAATAAATATTCAATGGATAAAATTCACAGTTCATTTTAAAAAATTATTCAAAACTTTATCAATCAATTGCCTAAAATCACATAAGTTCTTATTAACTTGGCAATTTTTAATAGCTGATAAATATCAAAATACTTAATAAAGAAAAATCTAAAAAAATATTAATACTTAATTTTATAAACAAACTATTTATTTACCCAATAATTCACATAAACAAGACAAGTTTTAGCAGCACTTGATTTCTTCCATGCTGTATACTCTTTTTGTTTTTGTATCATTTCAACCTAAAAAAATTAAAATTTCAATTAATTTTTTTGTTACTTAATTCAATTTTACACTACAATTTTAACAAATATCATTTTAATCAATAAAATTCTAATCCTTTAAAAATTTTTGTTTACTTTTCTGTTTTCAACAGGGCTGTGGAGTCAGAGTCAGAGTGGTAAAAAAATCTGCAGACTCCGACTCCTTTTTACTTCCCAACTTGTTATGTATATAAAACAGAAAAGTATTGGGATCATGTCAAATTTGACCCTCCAGGTTTTTTTTCTTTTGCAAATCTACATGTTTGGAGACCTCCCGAACCCCTCAAAAAAGTCAATAAAAGGGGAAAAATTCATGCATGCATGTGTGTTGGCATCTAATTTGTTTAATTTCTTTATTTTCTGTTCTGAGATATTAAACAATATTTCAGAATGGGTAAAGCTTAAGAAACGAAATGTGGCACTGTGGCTTGCGTATAAAGGGGCATTAATAGTCTACTATTAAATTTTGGTTCTTAATTAAAAGTTGACAGATTGAAGACATAAAAGTGGCCATGTGTCATATGTCTTAATGAATATTTTACTCGTTATTAGCGTTCAAAATTTAAAATAAAATAAAACTCTCTCTACCCTCAAAGTAAGTTTTTTTGTCATTTTATAATAGTACAGTAAAACCCGCTAAGATGTTCTTGCCTAAGATGTTAGAATGTATATGGGGACATGATTTAGTTCAACCACTTTGATGCTTAATAACTAACTCCTGTGCTAAACCATCTGACTCCTCTGACCACAGAAATTATTAGGCTTCAAACAGGGTGAACAAAATTATGCCCCACACACACAGTCTAATATCCACACATATAGAAAAAAACTCAAATCTTTTGCATATCTTGAAATTTCAATGTGTCCTGAGTCCAAAAATGTAAAAATTTGGAAAGAGTCATTTTTTGACCGAGCGCTACACTTTCCTTCTGTTATATATAACAGCCAGAAAAGTAAAAATTATTGAATACATATTTATATTTTACTTAGAGGAGTCTTTTAGCTTTGAAATAAAAAGTTTCTACATTCTATCTTTATTAGAACTCTATTTATTGAATCTTTTATTCTGAGGTCACGTGATGACATCGGAATTTCCGGGTCTCTTTCGGTAACAAGCCCACCCTTGGTTGGAGTCGGAGTCGGATGGTAAGGAAAAGTCGAGTCGGAGTCGGTAGATTTTTACGTGACTCCACAGCCCTGGTTTTCAAAGTTTAACTTTATAAATGTTTTAAAAATTATAGTGACAATTAATGTAATAGTTAATTAAAAAATTATGTATATAATCACTAATTTTGTTAATTAAATGTTTATTGCAATAACTTACCTAAATATAAATATAAATAAATAATTTAACTTAACTAGAGTGATTTTATAAGAAGAATTAAAATAGAGAAAATTTATATTTTGTACCTTTGGTTCATTTGAAGATTGAATTGTAACATAATTATCATTTAGTTCATTTGAATTATAAATAATGGCACCTTTTACTTCATTACTTCCTTGATTTGACTCTCCACTTAAATTTAATGCTAGAATATATTAAAAGAATAATTATAGAAGTTAAAAATTAATGCTTAATATATTTTTTGATTACATGATTTTGTAATTTAAATGTATTTTTGTTTTAGAAAACATCTAAAGTTTAAAAAGTATATAAATTGATATTATTATTATTATTATTTATATATAATTTTCACAACTTTAAATTCAATCAGAAAACATATAGTAAAAACCAAAAAATAATGAATAATGAATTCTGATTTAATTACTAAAACTAGCACACTTAGTAACTCTATATCAATATCATTTCATATGTGCAATTAAAATCAGCATTTACTGGAAAGTTAAAAACAATTTAATAAATTTAATAAACAATCTAAACCATCAAAATATACAAAAGTCAACATCCAGGAGACTTATTTCTGTCATCAGCCTTCAAGTAATCATTCACTAGCATCAAGATATTTACCCAAAATTGATAAACCAAATCCATTATCTACCAGATGATTTCCACAATTTTTAAAAGAATATTTAACATTTCTGTGAATTTTTAATATCTGATTAAAGGGTTATTTTTCATATTTTTGATTATTACAACTTATTACTTAAATTTGAATTTTGATTATATTTAAATCTTACCATTGTAAGTTTAAACTGTAATAAAAAAAAAAATAAATAAAATAAAAATTATAATTTATATATATTTATAGGATATTTACATTGTCGTTTTCTTAATCCTACAGATTTGGGATAAGACGGCATTTGTGGTTTCCGACATCTTCGATTTCTTAAAAAAAANAAAAACAAGTATATTAAAGTTCTTTACTGGTTATTAAAGGTTTTTAAGGTGTATAATTATCATTTATACATATTCAGTCTGGTATAGAAGTTGAACGTAGTTATTGTTCACCATTGCACATGAATAATGTAATGGAAAAAAAAAATTAACACCCACGGTACCACACTTGTCATGCACAATATATTTCTGACAATGGATTGTGTAGCTCCTAAAGAAAATGTCAGCAAACATGAGTTATTGCACATAAAATGTTTATCTCTGAGAGATCTATCATGCCGCAAAGCTTGTCACAGAAGTCCTGAATCACCCTTATATAGTTATATTTTTCAAGTTAAATTTTGTTTTCAAAATATTAAAATGAATTTTATGTTATGATAGTATGAAAATTTGTAAATGGTTGTCTGATATCTTTTTGAAATAAATATTCAATTTGAAATTATATCAAAAATTACTATTTCAAATATTTTTTATGCTCTTGCTTCTAAAATCTTGTAGCTTACAATATATATCAAATTAAACTAGACATTTTCATTGCTTCATAATTTAATTAAATTTGCCACTTAATGAAGTATTGTTTTTGTAGAAGTTTAAACATTTTACAGGTGCGCTTCCAGCAATACATGTTCATATGATGATATCAAAATGAGAGAAACATATATTATCAACAGTTTTAAATAGTAACCAAAAATTATTAGTAAATTTCTGAAAAAATGGCATATTACTTTTAAGCATTTTGTGCTGTTTTGTAAAATTAAGTAGGTTAACTGCAACAATATAACTAATATCCATGTAATTAATACTTATTTAATAAATTGAAGTAAAATAAATCTTATCAATTTTCACAAAAAAGGTCAGATCAGAATAAAAATACAACGTTAGCATTAAATTTTTCAAATTTAAACAGATAATTATACAAACTGAAATATTTGTTTAACTCCCTATAACTTTGACAAATCATGTATTTTTAAAATATTTTTCCATGTGTTTTTTCTCATTACCATTGTGGAAAAAGATTTTGTAAACAGTTATGTCTAGTAAAGAAAAGTCTTTTTTTTTATTGTTACATAATTCATTTTTTATGTGAATTTTTTTTCACAGCAGTTTTAGGCTAGTTTTTGGCGATACCCCCAAAAAATTTGACGACTATAGTTGTCGCTCACTGCTGAGTGGTTAATTTCTATTCTATCAATATCTTTTGTTGTTTCTTTATTTAACTTTTTTCATATAAATCATTTGTAACTATCACACTTCTTAATTGGGCTGCAATTTGAAAAATTGTAACCTATAAATTCCCACTATTGTCTTACCATCAGTCTTTCCTTAATCTTGAGAACAAAGTTAGATAGATGAAATCCAAGACCATATATGGAAACCTTAGGGGCAAGAAGCCCCGATTAACTAAATATGAACTTCCAATGCAAACCGGAAGTCACATTATTTCAATTCAAAACGTTTCCCCTGAAAGCAGTTAATAGATGACCAAAAAGACTCTATTGTTAAAGGAAAAGTATGATGTACAGGGGCAAGCCTCTACTAATAAGTTGAGATGGAGAGCATATTTTTAAATTAAATAAGTCCAACATATGATTAAAAATTGAAGCCTGGCATTGTGATGATAATATTTATAATATGTCACAATAATAATTTTATTTCTAATTACATAATACTGTAGTATCATTTTATGAAAAACAGAAATAAAACAAAATCAACAAGCAATTATTTATTGTGACATCACAATAATGCTGGTCTATAATTTTTAATCCTATTTTTAAGGTTTCCATACCTGATGTCATCTTCTGTCTATCTAAATCTGTTCTTGAGATTAAGGAAAGACAGATGGATGGTTGGATGAATGATAGTGGGAATGTTTGTTTAGCTGCAGTTTTAAAAAATTGTAGACCTATAAGGTCAACAATTTGTTTGCAAAGCAGCTAAACAAAGTATTATGAAAGCTTATATAGAAAGCATAAAGAGATTATTCAAGATAAGATTGAAAAATACTGCAGTTTCGAGATGTGAGAAAAGGTTACAACTAATTGAAAGCAATTCTAGTTTTTTTTTTTGGAAATTTAAGAAAATGAACTTTTGAGAACTGATAAAAAGTTATTTATGACAAATGAAAATTATGCAGATTAGCTAGTAGATTGTAAATAAGAAAAACAAAATTTTAATTCTTAGTTACGAAATCTACAAAGAGTATATATAAAAAAATTTTTAATATTAAACAAATTATCTTTATGTCATCTCAAAAAATTTGCAATTTTTTAGGGTAATGTAAATATAATTTTAAATCAATATATTTTTTACATTGTATAATAATGACCTTGTAATCAATTCACTGATAAATTAAAAAGTATGATTAATCTTGTAGATATTGTTATATGTAAAGTGGTCACAATAAAAATATCTATGTGAGTACAAATAAGAATAATCCAAATTAAGAGAAATTTGAATTAAGTTTCTAACTTTTTATTTAATCATAGAAAAAGTTCCCATAAGTAGTGCAGTAGAGATTTTACATTTGCTATTAGTAAAAAGTTTACAAAAATGATTTCTGTTAAACTTGAGTATTTTTGCAATCCAAGTTTTGAGAGCAAAGATTAAGTTTGCTTTCTATCCATTTTGATAAACTTTTATTTTTGGATGGGTCCAAACCTTTCTATAAGTCATAATTGTGCAAATTTGGTAGTTTTCTAGTGATAATGGCTATACAATAAATGATGAGCAATCAGACCAGATGTTATAACAACGATATTGGTAAATTCTGTTAATAAATGACTTCAATTTAAATTGAATACATTCATCCATGTATGTTTTAATATTCAAAGCAAAATTTTTAGGCACAAAATAAAGTTCTAAGTGACTTTTCTTGCAATAAATACAGTAGAGCATCGATTATCCGACCTCCGATTAACCAACACCTCGGTTAACTGACCGTCCTAGTCGGCAAATTTAAATATCCGCTAGTGATGTGGCGCTACAATATTTGGCTATGTCTTGGCTACTTTAATATTATTTTTACGTGTTTTAGCTGGCAACACCGGATCGACCATGAAAGGGAGCCAATATTTAAACGAGGCTTAATTTTCTAATTTTTAACGATACAATAGCGACGATTATTATTGTTTAAAAAAATTTGATAGGCTTAACATGGAGGAAAATTCAATGTGAAGTAGGTTAATAGCATTAATAATATACTAATTACATGGTATATAATAATATACTACACTAATAATGGATTTTTTCATACTTTTCGGTTATCCGACTTTTCAATTATCCGACCAACCCCAGTCCCCAATT